AAGTGGATCGAAGGACCTGTCGACAAGAAGGATGGTGCAGAGGGACCACCAGCGAAGTTGGGATGCAAGTTCTGGAGTGACAGTGAGCAGTTTGGTTGGAGGGTCCAAAAGGGGCTTGAAGAGCACCAAATACCAGGCCTGAAGAGATCTCATTTGCAGCCTGGCATGTTGGACAACTGTGGTCATGGAAGCCATGAGTCCTAGCAGTCTTTGCACTAGCAGGGCCTGGACTTTGGCTCCTGGCATGAAATGAGGTAAAATGGCCTGGATTTTTGCGATCCTGTCTTCTGGGAGGAAGGCATGTGCTAGGTTGGCATCCAGAACCTCTCCAATGTACGTCACTCTTTGAGTGGGTGCAGAGTAGACTTTTTGTGATTCACCTGAAGACCAAGGGCAGACAAGAGGGATAACATCAGCGTAACATCAAGAGACAACTTGGCAGAAAAATCCGCAACCATTCATCGAAGTAAGGGAAAACAGTGACATCTTGTAACTGAAGGTGTGCTTCCACAGGAGCAAAGCACTTCGTGAACACCCGGGGTGACGTGGACAACCCAAACGGGAGGGCCTTGAATTCATATATTACTCCATCCAACAAAAAGCGGAGGAAGCGCCAATGGTCAAGGCAGATGCTGATATGGAAATAGGCATCCTTGAGGTCAATGAGGGCAAACCAATCACCAGGTATCAACAACTGGATAGTATCACCCAGGGAGACCATACGAAAGCGTGGAGGTGTAATGTAGGAATTCAAGGGACGGAGGTCAAGAATAGGATGAAGCCCTCCATCCTTCTTTGGAATAATGAAGTAACGGGAGAAAAAGCTGCGGTCAATGTCAGGATTTACCACCAGGGTGATAGCATTCTTAGAGAGCAACTTGTCCATTTCCTGGCGAAGGATAGGAGAGGCAGATGCATTCCTGAGGAAACCAGTGCAAAGTGTAGAGCGGAACTCTATTTCATATCCCGTGGCAATAACAGTGAGAACCGAGGAGTCGGAGGTAATAGACCTCCAAATGTCAAAAAATTGTGCCAATTTGATCAGGTTAGGAAATGGTGCTGGGGGCTGAGAGATATTAAAGAGGCTGCTTGGCCTTTTGTTTTTGTTGACGTGATTGTTGACGCTGCCTCTGTCCATTTGGCTGTTGCTGAGACTGACCTTGGTAAGGCTGCACTTGGGAGCGTTGGCAGTCAGAGTATGGTCTACAGGAAGAAGACTGGCGCCAAGTGGAACGAGGACGAGATTGAGTAGTAATGAACTGTGTGGTCTTACGGTGCTTAAGAAGACTCTCCAAGATCTCGTCTGTCTTGGGGTCAAATAATCCAGCCCCATCAAAGGGAAGGACCTCGATTCGAGACTTGACATAATCAGAAATATTAGCCGATCACAGCCAGGTGTGATGACGGAGGGCAACGGCAGTTGTGAGCTGTTTGGCTGTGGCATCCACCACATGCCTGGCCATGATGCATTCTTGACAGGCTAATGGGACGGCATCCACCACATGCCTGGCCATGATGCATTCTTGACAGGCTAACGAGACGGTTTCCCAATGATACAGGAGGCTGGATGATTGAAGTTCTTCCGGTGCAGTCTGCAACACGGGCAGTATGTTGCTCCAAAGGTGAGCATAGTATGCTCCCATGGCTGCCATGTAATTGGTCACACGCAAAACGAAAGTTGCCAGGGAATACATTCGCCTACCAACCGTGTCTAGTTTATGGCCCTCTTTATTAGTAGGGGTGGAAGATCACTTTCCCCAGGGCCTAGACTGGGTGGCCTCCACCACCATCGAATTTGGAACCAGGTGCCTGGCAAGAAAATCCATGTCAGCTCCATAAGTTTATATAAGTTTTCCACCCTCCTTGGTATTTGATGGGAGGTGGAAGGTTTAGCCCAGGGTTCTCTAATAAGGCTGGAAAGCGACGGAATGAATCCAAGTCAGACCGATGGGATTTGTTCTTTAGTAATGTTTGCATAAAATTTATCCGGTTGTTCTGAAGGTGTTTGCAGTACAGCCAGATCAAGTAACTGTGCCGTCCTAGTGATAAGCTTGGAATATGCAATGTGATCCTCAGAAGATGAGGGCAGATGACTGCCGGCAATTTCTGAAGCTGGGGCAAGATGAAGTACAGGCGAGTCCTCCCTTATCTCGCCCTCATCTTCACTGGAGGCTGAGGCTGAGAGAAGGTTCTGTTCAGGAGATCTAAATGGCACGAGGTCCTGCAAGAAATAATCATCTCTTTCAGTTGAGGTAGGAGCAGGAGACGGTAAAGCTGGTGGTGCCCGTGAACACTGTAGAAGTCGTGACATCGGCTGAGCTAATGCCGGGCCCGAGAGAAACTGAGATTGTGGCTGTCGGGGATACGGGTGCAGGTCATGAAGTTGTGGTGACTCATAAACCTGTGGTCTCTGGTAGTAATAATCAGCAGACGATTAGTGTGGAGGTGGTGGGTAAGCCCCAAAATAAACTGACCAATGCCTATATGGGTCATAAGACATGGTATAATCAAGTCCTTCAAAAACGTAAGGATGTGTCTGGAAGCCCCGAGGATCGACCCAGGAAGAGGTTACATCACCACACACCTGAGGCCAGACATGTTCAGGTTGGGGATCAATGTGATGAGTCTTTAGCTTCTTTTTCCTGGGAGAAGGCAATTTGGAGCCTGCAGGAGACCCCAGGGGGTGCTGGAGATTTGGGCTCAAGCACCAGAGAAGGAAATGGTGTTGGAGACTGACTGCGGTGGGGTAAAGAAGCCTCTTCCGTACGCGGGGGAAAAACTTCCTCGACCCTCAACAGAGCAACCACAGGTCTACGCCTAGCAGAGGCTATGGAAGTCGAGGGGGAAAGGAGAAGAGAAGGCTCGGGTTTCTTGGCCGCCTTCCCCTTTTTATTCTTTGACACCGAGCCTGCAAGCTTTAGGGCCCCAAGGCCATCGGCAGCAGGCGGAGCCGCAGTTGGCGAAGCACCAGGCATGGGAGGATGCAGCGGCTCCATTTTGGAAGCTGGTGCGAGAGACTGCTTTCACAAGTGGGAGCAAAGTCTCTGCTGCCTCTGCTTAAAAGCAGATTTTGTAAATGCTTTGAAGTGCAGACAAGAGGCAAGTTGGTGCTCTTCGCCTAAGCAGAAGAGACACAGAGAATGTCCATCGGTAATGGGAACCTTTACGTTACAAGCAATAGAGTGCTTGAAAGGCCCTGAAGTTTCCATAAAGTTCAGACTCAGTTTTTTGTTTACAAATCCATAGTCGTTACATGAAAGGATAGTAAGGGAAGCTGAAGTCAATCACAGAGGGAGGTCCAAGCCAAAGGAATAGGAAGAAAAATGCAAAAGCTCCGGTAACCGATGCTGCTGAAGTGGCAGCAGAAAACGGAACTGAGGCACGTAGTGCTGGGTGAGGGGGGAGGTCCCAGCACCATGTCCTTAAAGCTATAGAAGGTTCCGAAACTGCTTTGCTAAGGCACAGATTAACCCATTAGTGTGCATTCACAGAGACCACGAAGGAGAAGAACTGACACCAGAGCCTCCTGGCTGAAAGGGGCGAGCATATTATGGATTTTCAGAATCCTGTCTTGGGGCAGTTAAGCCCGTCCAGCTCGAGCATCTAGTACTCCTTCTATGTAGGAGACACGCTGCGTAGGAGTCAAAGATGAAAACGAAGTCTAAAACAATCTGAAGCAATACCAGAGAAGTCCGATAAAGAGGGAAGGAAGTTAAAGATTTTTAACTGAACACAAAAGTTCCTATGAAGCAGCTGCAGCAGCGGCAAGAAAGGAACTGAGGCACTTGGTGCTGGGGGCAGAGTTATAGCCAGCATATGGGTGGTTCCAGCACCATGTGCTTGAGCTAGAAAGTTCCGAGGCTGCTCTGCACAGATTAACCAATTAGTGTACATTCACAGAGACCACAAAGAAGAAAAACAATTTCAAAGTCCTACATATACATATTTTAATTCATACTCAAAGATTTTAAGGTGTTCAGCCTATTGTATTTGTTACAAAATTACAAGGATTGTAATAGAAGAAATTGACATCTTAGACTGAATATATAAAGGAAGTTGTTGATATTGTGCGTAAAGCTGAGTCATGCTGACTAGGCAGAAGACTGATGTAATTCATATGAGATCACCTGAGATGAGGTAATGTTACCTGATTTGTCAGATGTACTATATATTGTACAGAGGAACACACATGTAGTGTGGGGAGTTTGAATATTTGAGGACATGCTGCTGGAGTACTACCGTATTTGCCGGCGTACAAGATGACTTTTTTGGCCCCAAAAACATGCCTCCAAGTGGGGGGTCGTCTTGTATGCCGGGTGCACTTCATTTGGGCCAGGAAGGCAGGTGGGCAGGCAGGTG